TTTTTTTTCCTTAAATTGACTTATGTGTTTGAAATATTACATTACCTATTTTTCAATGCTATTATCTTTCACATCAGCTTTGCTAGTTTTATATATTGTGAGCCTGCTCATCTGCAAATTAGATGGACTCTCCAATCATTGATGAACTGCAAAAACAAATTAATCAATCAAGAAGACTATGTGTTGCTCTTGAACGACATACACAGGCCATGGAGCGTCAAATATCCCTGGTAAATGCTAGGATTCAATCATCTAATCCAACTACAGAAGAAATTGAAAACTTATTACGGATTATGAACATCGAAGATCATCCATCCCATACAAGACGTCTAATAGGGATGCCAATACAATATTGTTTCAATGCATTGCAACGATACCTTACTGAAGCAACGTCATCGTGAACTATTACAAATATATTTGTATGTTTAAATGTTGCCACTTTTTCTTAGGACATGTAATATTATAACTTCCTTTAATTATTTGTTTGTTTAAAATTAATCATTCTCACTTCTGTAACAAATAAATTGATACTACTTGGTAGTAAATTATATTACAAACAAACACTACATTTAAAATTAAATTCATTTTACTACACTATAATTTTTATAATTTTTATAATTTTTAAAAATTAATTTTAAAAATTATTTATAATTTTTGTCTCTTTATAAACATTTTACAATTAAATATAACACTAATAAATAACATTTTATATTACTTTAATAACTAGGGGCATTTTGGTATTCTTTAATTTCTACCAATTAAACTAATTTTTTAAATCTATCACATTAATCAAATTCTACACTAATTTTCACAAACTTTACTTCCAAATCCACTCTCAATTACCCACAAATCCACTCAAAAGAACAACTACAAAATTACCCTCAAATCCACTCAAATCCATTCAAATCATCTTCCCCAAATCATCTCCCCTAGATACACCCAAAAGAACAAAGCCTAACAGAGAGTAGCACACGATTCCAAGATCTAACTCCCAAAATTCAAAATTTGTTTTAAAACAATGATAATGATTAAATATAGATAACTTTTAAAATTATTATTAAAAAAAATTAATACACCGTGTGAAATATTAAATATATAAATATTTAATTTTTATTTTTAGACTAAATAAATTATATTCTTTATTTATTACAAGAAATAAGTTTTTTTAATATTATTCATTAACATATTTTTTTTAATTTCTAGCTAATATAAAGAAACATTTTATATTACTTTTAATATCAAAGACATTAAAACTTTTTTTAAATTTATTATATTTATTAAATCACTCATAAACTTTACTTTAAAATTTATCAACTTTCATCTCTAAATCTTTAAAAAAAAACAACAAAAACTTTATCTTTAAATCCATCCAAATTTTTTCCCTTATAATTTTTTAAATTTATATTAAAAAAAATAACATACACTAAGTTTCCATTAGTTACTCAAGGAAAGAGACTCATGAGAGGTATTCATATAAATGTTGCAATTGAAAAAATATGAGATTATTTGGATGCTTATTAACTTAAACACGATGTGATGTGGCTAATGTTAGTGGAAGTAACTATTGAGGTCAAAACCATAGCCAAATTAAAACCATGTATGTCTACAATTCATTTATTCCCATCAAACCCTCATTTTTTTTAATTTAATGGAAAAAGAGGAGTGCTAACACCTATTTATCTACAGTTCTTCTTAAGAACTTTCACTGTTAGTCATTTAATTACATCTTAATGGAAATAATTATTTAAATATCTAGAAGTTTACACCTGTCAATTAAAATAGAAATCGTTCTCTGTATGGGCTTTGTCCCTATAAAATATTAAAATTAATTGAATTGAAAATACCTCATATTTATAATGGGATTGGTTTATGTATAACATGATTTTCAAAGCGAGCGGTTATCAATCAAGACCGATCGCTCTACCACTGTAGAAACTCTCGTCAACTTTATCAAACGCTCGTCAATTAATTTAATCAAAGTAAAAAGCATTCATCAAACCACAATAATCAGGCCAACGCACGTTAAAAGTCAGGCGACACTCAATTAATCTGACCAAACCGGGTTCAACGGATGCTCAATTCAGTTAAACGATATTGGGCTAATTAGCTCAACATTTAAGTAATTTGACCAAAAATCCAGCAAAAGAGGAAATAGTCAAAAATAACTTAAGCGGATTATACGGTCAACTAACCGGATTTTAAGAATAACGTGGGTCACGGCAACTAACCAGATTTTAAAGTAATCAATTTGTTTTACATTTTTACGTTAAATACAACAGAGAAGAAGGAAAAAATGTACGTTTTGCTCTAAGACTAAAAAGATCATATTGTGAGAAAAGATCACTTGTTTTGAGAATTGAGGTTCCATAACTCATATCTAACTTTAGCATCGAAGTATTTTCGCAGGTACCCCACCCACTTCCATTGAGGAGAACACATTTCATTAGTGAGAGGAGTGCGAACAAGTTACAGTCAAGGTGAGCGGTTGATACTGTTGGAGGAAAAGCGATTGTCCAAGACGTTCAAAAGTAATAAACCATCATCAACAAGGTTTGTATATCGGTCCTAAATAATCATTATGAAACAGTTTATAAACTACATCTTATATATTAAAGTTAAAAGTAAGTAATATGATGAGACAAAATATACAAATTTTAATTACTTAATAAATAAAATAAATTTTATAGAGACTAAATAAAATTATCTAAATTTGTAAAAATTTAAAATTTAATTAAGCTTTTACTTTAATAAGTTATTAATGCATATTAGCATTTCAAATAAAAGTTATATTTTATTATTTTATTTTTAAAATAATAATAATAATAATAATAATCATTTTATTGATCAATCTTAATTTCAATTACACAAACTAAACAAGATGGCTACATAAAATAAGAGTCGTATTATTTAATTAATAAAAAATATAAATGATAAAAGCTCAATTAAAAATATAAACTTTTTAAATACTTAATAAATAAAAATAATAATAAAAACTTAATTAAATAACGTGCTATGAAATCCTTGAAACTTAATTAAGTCTTGAAATATAAAGAGACTTCAAATAACATACATCAAACTCGTTTTATGTTTATCCTAATAGAACTATTTTTAGAGCATATCAGTAGTGGAGTTTTATACATAAAAGTTATAATTAAAATGAAAGATTTTATTAAAAGAAGAAGTAACATATGTTTTATTCTTATAACATGGTGTGCGAAAAGAAATATCAGACATCAAGCAATAAAATTAGTTATAACATAAATAAGTATATAGATGGAAAATTTCAGACAGAAACGAGAAAAGTTGTAAGAAAATAGAAAAGTTAGAAAAAAAAAAGAGTAGAGTGATGATTATTCAACACCTACTTAAATGTGTAGCAGCCGCGTTGGTTGTAACGCACCCACCCACACTCATTATTTGACATGCTATCACTCCACAAATTATTCTAATTCAATTACCAGGGGCTTCTTTAGGTCAAAACAAATAATCTAAATATTATTATTATTTCTATTGATAATAATAATAATAATAAATAATAAAAAGTAAGAATCAATAAAACTCATCAAGTATGGAACAGTTTAAATTTACGAAAACAATATTCATATATCATCATAAATAATCTTAACTATTAACTATTTGATATATGATTACTATTTTTAATGAGATATCTTTATATTACTATTGACTATACTGTTATTATATGCTTTAAAATAAGTATTATTTTAATGCTAACAGACACGCAGTTCATTTGAATCCTATAAATCTAACTACTATTTCATTATATAATTATTCATATTCATTGTATTTCTAAAAATCTTATACTCTTAAATTGAAAAAAAAAAATCACCTACAAATTCATTTTCAATATATCGATAGGATCAATTATAATAATAATAATTGCTTGTACCTGCCGCCAAGTTATAAGTGATTTTATTGATGCCAAGTATAAGCAGAACTGCTAAAGAAGTAGTAGTGTTAATATGAGTTGTCCCTCTCCACGTTATTTCAGCATATTATGTATACTATTTTAAACTTCTAATTAGTTCAAGTTAAAATACTTTTATATCATAAAAGATTGCATCAAAGTTTTGTTTGTGTGTTTTATACTTGTTAAAACTTCATAGTCTGATTCACTTTTGAAAAAGTCAAATTTCAATACTAATTATTAAAGGTTTGATTGCATAAAAATTAAGATTTTAATTTCTCAAACCTTCAAAGTAAAAATATAGTTCAAATAAAAAACTTGCAATGGATTTTATGTATAAATTTTACAAAATATATATATATATATATATTGAAAAGAATAAAGAGGTAAATTGGAGGAGTAGGTGGTTTTCAAGTGTAGCCATCCATGTGGTTACTCCTTCCTCCTTACACAGCTCCCAACAAACAGGATAGTGCTCTCAATAATTCAACCTTTTTCTTACACTCTTTTCCTTTCTTTCACCAATTATTTTAGTTCATACTTTTTGTTTCCTTTCCTCTTAATTTAAATTCAATGAATTCTAAATATATATTGAGAGTTGAGGGATAGACAAAAGAAGTGTCTCGTGAGGATGGACGGAGTAGAGATGAGAGGGAAAAAGTCTAGAGGGGATAAAATAAAAATTAAAAAAAGAAAAGAAAAACTCGGAGGATAGTAAAAGAAAAAAGATATGAAAAATCATGAATTGAGAAAAAAAAAAGATAAACAAGGAGACATTGATACTATTATTCTATCATTTATAACATATCAATATTTTTTAATTTTATCCGTACATAAGTAATAATTATTTTATATCTCTTAATCAATAGTTTGAATTTCAATTATAGCCTTTTAGAGATTGAATAAATCATATTAGAAAAAGAAATATTTATCAATGGTTCTATTAGCTAAATTTAAGTAAATAATTTGTTAGATTAAATTCATACGGCGACTGAATTAAATACTTATTTCAAAAAGCTTGAAACCTCCGGTTTCCCATGGCAAATTTCTTAACAGTCTAAGATTTGAGATACCGTTCTTCAAAATTGCTAAACATTGGCATTAACTGTAATCGAGTTTCGTTCTGCTGGTACTGACATACTAAAATCATTTTGAATTAGAATGAACCAGAATACAGTCATGTCTACAACATATTAGAAAACAAGTAGTGATGGATCCTTCAGCCTATTTTTGGGAAGAGAAATATGGTCCTATGGTATTAACAATTCATACTACAACATCTACTTGCTTGGCATGGTTGCCCAATTTCACTGCCGATCTTCTTCCATTTCAGCTGATCTACTTCCATTACAAGAAATATTTTATTAAGAATACAAAACATCATATCCAAGAAAATAAGGAATCCACAAAAACTACCATTTCCACACAAATTCCTGTAGACAAGAAAACAATCACAATTTTTGCTACATACTTACTGTATCAATGCCAAAAAAGGAAACAAATGGAATCATGTTTTAAAAAACAAAAAAGTCGAATCTCTATAATGGCCATCAATTTTGACAATACTCCATCAAAGCCACTTAAATTAGATAATGCATAAAAATACATAACTAAGAGACCAACGGACCAGCAAATGTGTGAGTGGGGTATTCCTGTGTCTCCCTTACATGTGTCTTCAACGCGTGTTGTGAAGCAAGCCAACTAACAAGATGAAACTAAATCCGGCCAAATACAAAAGTGCCTATTCACCAATTTAATCAGAGTCTTGAATCTTGACTCTAATGGCAATTCATGAAAATGCACGATATGAACATGTATACCAAACAGCCCAAGCAGAAACCTTAGCATGAGCATACATGTCCCTTCTCCTATGATTAGGATTCTCTAGTCAGAAGTAACTGCACCATCATGCAGTTCAAATCCAACAGATTACATCTAATATTTCAAATTATTCGTCGTAAAATAAAGCATTTTCATGGTTTATATTTATTCAGAGTTATATTTGTTAATATTTTGGGGGTAGGAAGAGGGGAAAACATTTTGCACGGGTGTATGGACATGAAAAAGTAATCGTTCCCTTAATTTTATGTTTGCACTTAGTAGTGGAATAGAATAGAATAGAAACTACAGAGGTTGTGGATGTCGCTGTCAATCAAAGCTTACTATTTAGCTCATCGAAGTGAAAAACTAATTGAGAGCATGCATTATACTCCCAAAAAGGTTCAAATAAAGGGCTTTGGGGCTCCTTTCTACACAAAATATGAAGCACTAACTCGTGCTTGGCGCAATCATTGGACAACGCTAGACCATTACTTGTTTTGCGGTGGCAAACACCAGAAGCGTAAAGCCAAGTGTAAACGGAAAATATTATAGCCATAGGTGATTACTTAATTGATCAATGCAAGATTTACGAGCATTTAATTTCTGAGCATCACAAACAACCCATCAAAATAATAGCAAAGAACCATAAGATTTAAAAAAGAGTTGTTGCTAAAAAGGGTACAGTTAATCTTCTTCTAAGATAACAATAAACTAAATCAATTTTGAAGTTGCAACAACTGTTTAATACAATAATAACTTGAGATGTGCTTTACCTGAACTCCGAGAAAATTGCAATTCAAATCCCAACTGTCAAATAAGCCGTGCCTTTTTAAGATCAGAAACAACTCCACGATCCTCAGACCCCCTATCATTGTATATAACCTGCAAAAAGACAGTTAATTTTATTTTCAAGTAAAATAAATGATAAAACGAAAATGTCTAATGGCAAGTACCTTGTCTATGATACCATACTCAACAGCTTCACTGGGGCTAAAATACTTTGGACGCTGAATATCATTTTCAATCTGCTCAGGTGTTTTTTCCATATGCTTTGCATACAATTTAACCTTTAAAAAAAAAAAACATCAGGCACGAGTTGCTACAATAATTTTTCAGTCAGCTTTTCTTAAAGATCAGTAAAGTATACATTCTTAAGAACCCATATTAAATCAAAATTATGCAGAAGTCCATTGAAATGTCCAAATACAACACAGTTCATAATCTCATGCTTTGTGGTTGAAGGGAACCAAGAAATGTTCGGCTACTGCTCAACAAACTAATATTTCAGTAGCAGATAAAAAAATAAACAAATATTTCAGTATTTTAAAGGGACTAAAAATACAAAAGTATCCACTGGTCCAAAAATCTTCACAGATAGTAATACATAACTTCAACTAAAAACTTAGCTATAGAAAATTAGATAGAAGCACATACTAATTCTGCCTTCACATTATTGACTTCTATTCTTGCAAGGTTAACATCTGTTGCTTGACCTTGAAACCTTGCAATTGGCTGCAAATTGAAAAACCATACAGTTCAGATGTTAGGATACAAGATCCCAAAAGAAATACAACAAACTAAGTAACTAGAATGACCACACCATCAGCTTAAGCATTGGGGATAGTTAGGGGTTGTTTCTTTAAGAAAATGTATATATATTCATTTTTTATTTCACTTTTAATTACCAAACACCACCTTATTTTAACTTTATTTCCTGTTTTCAAATCCTTGGTATAGAAAATGGTGAAAAACAACTTTTTATTGTTTTCTGTTTCAACAATTTCAAACATGAAATGATGAACTTTTGGAAATAGGCAACAGTAAAAGCAGAAAATGAGAACAGGAAATATTTTCTTAAACCAAACAGCCTTTTCATTTGTAATAGTCACAAATGATGGAGTACAAACCTGTCTTAACATTATTGTTGATGATGGCAAAGCAGAGCGGTTTCCCTTTGCACCTGAAGCCAAAAGCAATGCTGCTTCTCCCCAAGCATTACCAACACAAAGAGTGAAAATAGGAGTCTTGACATACCTGTGTCACAACAACTAAGCTAGATTTATAAATATAAACACAAACATTATATGGGGAATTCTTCAAGTTGGGAAAAAGCTATAGAATAAAAAGAAGTATGTTTCATCTTCAGGTTATAATAATTACAGGAAAAATAAACATATCATGTTGAAAGGATTAGTGAAAAAATAGGTCACTAAAGATGGTATTGCTCGGAAAGAATAACAAAGTTCATGTTTTAGGTACACGCATGAATATTCTTATTTATAATGAAGAAGAGATAGAATAATAAGAAACAAAATCAATATTAATAATGATAAATAATTACTAAAATATTTCCTTATCAAATTATATATCCATCATTCCTCCTCGAGCTATGGAGCATATGCATCAAATGAAATAAACTTGTTACAAATGTCATCCTAAAGATCCCTCAAGAGACTACGTAAACACGTCAGCAAGTAAGTTGTAAAGCTGCCAAAGTAAATAATAACAAAGATAGTAGATATTCCCTAGACTAGGCATGGCTTTATGTCTGTCAAGGTGACCATTAATCTTCAATATGTATTGTCCTTTCAAATCGTATTGAAGAGGGAAATGGTATACATTTATGCGATATAATCCTCTTGTATTTCAATTAGCATAGTTGAGGAACATATATACATATAAAGCATTACTTAGGAATTTCCCTCAAGGTGGAAATATGCACACAAGGTGGAAGTAAAGATTGTTAGAAGTGGACAAAGGCCACAGGCTGCCAGAGAGCAAAACTTGGTAGAAGACAAGATAGCTCTCAGAATGAAAAAAATTGCTCTCAGGACCCTTCGGTTGTCAAAAGGAAAAATATAATCTTAGCACATGGTCGATGTCAGAAAGCCAAAATACTCAGACAGTCCAACAATGGTTGAGAAGAAAAAATGCTCAGAGGACATAGCAACTGTTAAAGAGAAAAAATGGTCATCGCACAGCAAGCTAATGCCACTGGTGGCAGTCACTAGCAGAAAAAATCTCTACGAAAGAAAAAAAAAAAAAAAACTAGACGGTAAACAATACTTGTTGGAATCATTAAACATTGCTCAGCAGAAAAACGTCAACAATAAATAATGCTCACCGGAAAAAGTTGATGGTAAATTGTACTTGTGAAAAAATGTTGATTAGTAAACAACACTGACCTAAAAAAGTCAACCATAAATAGTACTCATTAAAAAAAGATAGCAGTAAAAACCACTCATTGGAAAAACTTTGCTGATAAATGTTATTGTTAGCTGAAAAAAGCTTTCTAGAAAATCATCAACAGTGAACAGTAACTCCAGTAGGAAAAAGCTTGCTGGAATGTCTTCGCCTTAAACAATAATGCCAGCAATGAACTGCGATGGCAGCAGTGAACAGTGGCACGAAAAAAAAGGGAAAGTAAATAGAAACTAGACAACAAACATGATTTCTAAAATATGTAAACCTATGAGCAGTGAACCCACAAGAAAAGCACAGATTAGGAAAAGAATTAATTTAGAAATCTAGAGTCAATTGAAAACCTTGATACAACTTATAGAGAATCACTTTCCATCAAAAAACACTACGGTAAGGATGTTTATTGTGGGTATTACTGCCACTCAGATTACTACCTACAGAGGGACTCATGGATTCCTAGTTATTAAAATCTTAACACAGTGCCAATATATAAGCATAGCCAACTAAAGCACTTCTCCACCTTACAACCCATAACTTGAGCAGAGAAAATGAAGAAAGACAGCAATTAAATTTCTTCCCATTTAATGACACCTTTGTAGTGTATACTTAAGAGCCTAAAATAAGTGAGATAAGCAAAATAAATAGCATGATCACAGAAATGATAGCAATAACAACCTCATCACATCATAAATTGCAAAGGCCTCAGTCTCATAACCCAACTTCTCACCTCCCTGAAAGAACAAAACAAAATTCCATTAAGAAAATGAATATTTCCAAGGAGATTGTGGCACCATATTTTAGAATCTTATGAAAATCATTTGCCGTCCTTTAGTAGTCAGAAATGAAAGCATTCAACAGTTCATATAGATTCATGTAGCCTCCTCATAGTAGGATAAGACTAGGTTCTTGATGTTGTACATGATATTGTCGTAAAACTGAGCAGCTCTCTGCTAATTATACAGAAAGGAATAAAATGTGTTGATTTTATTAATTTCATTTAGCTAGGCTATATAAAATAATTATTAAATTATCTATGTCTAGGGCAGATTTCTAGCTTCAAGGCATCTCCATAATAGCGTTAAACTGAACCCAAAAAATATTTAGATTAGTAATAGTTTCTCAAAGTTTCAAAACTTGTTGATATTCTTTAATTTCTATGAAAAGTAGGTTGACAAGTGTAGGTATGGCCTCACCCTATATGATAAGACTATATATGCTTATTAAGTAGGATAGTGACTTCAATTACAGTAAGTAGGGGGTTGATTGTGTACAGTTTTAATTTCTCATTTACTTCCTTATTTCTTTAATTAGGGTCACCTCATTTGGATCTATATATTTGTATCAATTTTCAACATTTTAGACAACAGAACAATTCATTCTTTCCTATTCGCTCTTTTAAAGTACAAGCATGTATCAAGATGATAGTTTCAACATGTTACAGATTCAATATTGGCCCCCTTTACTCAAATTCGTGACTCTAACACTTTTGGTAGTCATAAAAGATCCTCAAGCCATGGTGTATAAAACTGTGAGGCTCAATAGATCAGTAGGCTTTAGATATCCTTCATCTTGGGCATAACCTTAACCAAACCCAGAACCCCCACCTCAGCCCAATGCTTGCAACCTGGTTAGGCTAGTTTGGACTTAGCTCTAGAGCTTCATTTTCCACGCACTATATCACAATCTAA